TCATGTGGTGACTCAGAAAAATTTCAAGATATTTAAAATTTTTTAAACTAGGTTATAGAATGTATTTGAAAAATTCCATATTAGGTTAAATTTTTAAAAATCATACATTCACATGATTTTTTTTTTTTTTTTGGTACTGGGGATTGAACTCAGGACCTTGCACTTTCGAGGCAGGCGGCAGAAAACCACTGAGCCACATTCATGTGATTTTTAATGCATAAAATATTTTGAGATGTTACAAAAGAACCTGTTTTTAATACATAGGATGAAATGTGGGGTTTGTAGGAAAGTGCTATTTTTATTTTTTACTTCATACCATTCTTTACCATTTGCATTTTTACTATGTATATGTATTGATTTTTTTTTTTTTTGAGACAGGGTCTTGCTCTATAGTTCAGAAGCACTATGTAGCCCAGGTTGGCCTGAAAGTCACAACAATCCTCCTGCCTCAACCTCCTGAGTTCTGCCGGGATTAGAGGCATTCACCACTATGCCTGGCTCCTTATAACTAAATTTAAAAATAAATTATTAAAGTAGTACATTTTCTCTGTAGGATGTAAAAATAAACTATTTCTAAGATTTTTCCCTTCAGTCCATTGCTTTGTCACTCTGACTGGCATTATGAAGAGTTAGCATTCTCCAGCAATGAGCAGCTCCCTGGGGATTGGTGGTCTCTAAATTACCATACTGAGTTCATGCTGCCAGTTGCAAATACAACTAAAATCACTTCAACAGAAAAATTTCAAGATTTAAATATAACAGTTTATCAAAAGTAGCTTAGAAATAACGACTCTTTGATATAACCAGAATTACTTTAGAAAGTTTACATTTTGTAATAAATATAAATGTGGATTCAGGGGCATATAGAATATTATTTTCTTGGAGGCTGTCAGAATCTATTGTCTGCACTTACACATGTAGATCTCATTAGTAAATTAGTACATTTGGCCTGCAGTCCTTTTTCATATCAGTGAATGATTTGGAGAACTTCCCAGATCTCCTAGACGTTTGCAGTAGAAAATGACACTGTAACTGGTAGAAAGTTGGCTGTAATAACTGCATCTTTGTGCTTTCCCTTGTTTGACAGTAAGCATGTCAAAATAGAGTTAATGCAAAAGAAATGTAAATAACCCTAGCCACAAATGTATGACTTTTTAATATAAGATTCTTTTACTTCAGGCAAGATTATTTTTAAACATAATATTGACATTGAGATAATCATAGCACTTATACATCTCATCAAGTTTAAAATTTCAGTCCTGTGGAAAAATACATTAAATTGTCAGAAAATAGGGCATTGAGCTGAATGAAAATTGATTCTTAAGTACTTGAAGTACATGAACTTTACTGGGATAATTTTGGTGTCAATTACCTAAATTACTTATGATTTCTGCCCGGATCTAAAATAATAGGTTGGCCATAGTGGATTTGTCAATGTGAGACACTAGGATTTTCCTTTTTTTTTGTTTAACAATTTAACTTTCATATTAAGAATAAACTTTGAAAATAACTGCTTAAATCTCATGACAACTTCTGAATGGAATGCTTTAAAATTGTTCAAACTGGCCAATGGGACTTGAAGGGAAGTCTTCTAGGGAACTTGGAAATTTTCTGTATTGATGAAGGAACACATAGCTCTTCTTCCCCTAGACACTCTCATCTGTGAAAGAGTGCCCACATTGCTGCAGGTGTCTTCTTAAGTGAGGGGAGCTTATGTGACAGAGCAAAACAACTGAGACGTTAAATACCCATCAAATTAACTAAAATTTACCAGGGAGGGAGTCCCTTCAGCTTAGGCTTCTTCTTATGTGAAATTATACATTTTTTTACTTTAAAAATTATTCAAGAAAAATTACATAGAGTTGAGAATGAATAACTGAAAAATTCAAGCCGAAGTTAAATTATGATGTTACCTGTACCTAATCATAATCACATAAATTATATCATTGAATTAATATCACATTAAACCTTCCAATGAATTACAATAAGGAATTAAGTCTTTTCTCAAGTTTTACCAGCTTCATTTTTAAGAGACAATCAGTATCCTGTTCTCAGAAGTCTCCAGGGGAAAATATGATTGACAAGGAATATATTAACTGGAATGAACAGTTAACTAGAAGGCATAACTTTGCAATTAGAACTATGTAGAAAGTGAATTTGAATATCTTCAGTGTGTATATTTACACCTTTGTTCTTGAGTATTATGTATATGTATGTCAGAGACCCTGGTGTCCCAAAATCCATGTCCTCACCTTTCAGAGTATCATACTTGTGTATGTGTGAGAGCCCTCGCCCATGAACTTGGAAACCTTTATTCACTGATGAGGGTGATATGCAGACAAGTAGTCCCTATGCATTTGTTAACCACACAGGAGACAAATACGGTAGCAAGACCCCTTTAAAAGAAAAAGAAACAACTGTTTTATATTTCACAACAGTCATCGCAAGTAAATCTTGCAGTTTTCTGAATAAATAGCATTTTCACATGTGTGTAGCCTTTATTTTCTCACCGGCTGATGTTTCTTACCTATCCTTTTTTGTTGACTTCAGTTTTCAAGACCCAATCTGGCCACTTGCTGGTTCTCCCTTTATAATGGGTTTATTAGAATGAGACTGTGGGCAATTTACTGACTCTAAATTGTTTTCCTCTTCTGTGGTAGAATCTTGGGATGACTGAAAGAGATAAGTTAAAGTCCAGGACCTGGCAGATGTTGGCTATCAAGAAGGTGATGGTGCATTAAAATTGATGTTATCTTGCCTCCTTTTTTCTTTCCTTTCTAGGCCATTTGTTACACTGACCAATCTTCTTAAAATTTCTTTGAGGCTGGACAGGTGGCACATGCCTGCCATCCTAGCACTATAGGAAGCTGAGGCAGGACGATAGCAAGTTCAAGCCCAGCCTAGACAACTTAGTGACTTAACGAGACCCTGTCTCAAAAGAAAAATCTTTGATATAAAATAGCAGCAAAAGCTTGAAGTGTGGCTCGGTAGTAGAACACCTGCGTAGCATGCGTCAAGCCCTGGGTTTGATTTTCAGCACTACAAACAAACAAATAAACAAATAATTAACAGCAACAACATCTTTTGGTCAAATCAATTCCAACTCTAGCTCCTGATTTATTCCCTCCTAGGCTCGTGCCCAAGAATTCTGACAGATGTGAAATGTCTGTATTTCTAAGTTGGTTTTTTTTCTTTTGAGACAGGGTCTCATACATAGTTCAGGCTAGCCTTGAACCCACTATGAGGCCCAGGCTGTCCTCAAATTTGTGGTAGCTCTCCTACCTCAGTCTCCCAAGTACTGGGACTACAGACGTGTGCCACCACACCCGTATTCTAAGTTACTTTTTTTCTTCTTTTTTTGGTGCCAGAGATTGAACTCGAGATCTTGTGCTTGTGCTTTCAAGGTAGGCAGCAGAACCACTGAGCTAAATCCCTGGCCCTAAGTTACTTTTTTTTTTTTTTTTTGTACCGGGGATTGAACTCGGGTCCTTGCTTTTAATAACCTGTTATATTAGATTTAAATCTTGAAATTTTTCTGTTGAAGTGATTTTAGTTATATTTTAATTTGCATTGTCCAAAAAGTTGAAAGGTAACTTTATATATGCTTATTTTTCCTTTAAATTTTTTTTCATGTTTGTAATCATTTGGATTTTCAATAAATCATAGCCTCCATGGCCTTTGCCCAACTTTTATTGGATTATTTTATATTTTTAAAAATTTGTGAGCTTTTATATGCATTCTGGGTAATAATTGTCAATGAACAGTTATATGTATTGCAAATAACTTTTTCTATTTGGTTTAATTTTTCATCATATATATGGAGTCTCATGTTGCTTGGAAATCTAAACTCTTCTTCCTACAACTCCCCACCATCAACACCACTACATTTCTGTGAAAGATTTCTGAGAGTTTGTCAGCCCACATCCTTGAATGAGTCTTTCAATGCCCCTTTTGACTTAAAAGTTGGGAATAGTATAGTGTTTATTCTTAGGACTTTTGTGAGAATTAATGAAATAACACTTGGAAAGTATTACTCCTGTTCCCTATGGACTTTCAAGGCAGCATGTTCTTGTTTACTTTTTACTATGCCTAGAATGGTTTTCTCATTCCTCTTAGCCTTCCATGGTCTTTTAGGTCTGGATTAGGCACCCATGGCAGACACTGCTATTGTTCTCCAAGTAGTCATCCCAAGCATTCTTCCTTGATAAAAGAAACTTGCTTTTCTTCATGTTATTTCAATCTATTTGTGTTTCCCCTGACTCCTGTGGTAGATGCTGAGGACAGGCTCACTCAATAGCTATCCTAAGTCCCCTTATTCAGCCTTTGTGTACTTTCAAGGATGAAAAGATACTTATTATGTATTTCTAGACTCTCTTGCAGGTAGAATTCTAAATGTGAATTATATCCTGAGAGAGATCACATTCACATAACTTTTATTGTAGTATATTGTTATAATTGTTCTATTTTATTGCTAGTTACTATTGTTAACCCATTTATGCCAAAGATTGAAATTTTTTTGAATTTTTGCATGGCATTCATATATGTTACCTAGAAAAATTCAAGGAACAAGAATTTGAAGAGGACACATTTCAGTATGTTCCATTGTTATGGGCATTCCAAAAATGGATCACTAAGCATTGAATGGGTAATCTTTTAATGTGGATAATTCATAAGTTAAATTTGTCATAGGCATGTATGTTCTTTACAGGAAAAAATATAGTATAAATAGGATTTAGTACTATATATAGTTTCGGACACTCATTGTTGATCTTGGAATGTAATTTCTGTGGACAAAGAAGGATACTGAAGCTCCCAAAGTTCCCACTTCCTAATACTGTCACATTGGGGGGTAGCATTTCAATATATGAATTTTGGGGGAACATATTCAAACTGTAACATCCTGAGATAATCTTTGGCCAGCTGTCTGGATATCTCTTGGCCCAGTAAAGTTGACACAAAAATATTAGCCAGCACATATATGTAGTAAAGGCAGCATCCTTCTAGAGTCAGCCACTGTAGGGGCAGCTTTCTAAGTGACAGAGTTCAGGTCATGGTAGAAGTCTGAGCTGCCTTGGTAGCCCAGTTCCATGGAATGACTTTGGAAGTTGTCTCTGAGTTACCTTCAACTCATGCTATTTATTGGGAGGTGGTGGAACCTTTAAGAGGTGGATCCTGGTTGAAAGTCTTTTGGTCAAAGAGGGGATATCACTTGAAGCAAATACTGGCATCCTGGCCTTCCTCTCTCTCTCTTTGACCTCCATGAGGTGAACAGCTTTATCCAACACACACTCCCACTGTGATCTGCTGCCTTGCCACAAGATCAAAAACAGTGGGTCGACCAACCATGGACTGAAAGCTCCAAAATAGTGAGCCAAAATAAACCTTTCCTCGTTTTAAGTTGATTACCTCAGATATTTTGTTACAATAATAGAAAGTTAATACATCCCATGATTCTGTAAGTCTACATATATGAATGGCCTGTAACCCAGTCCTGGCCAATGAGAAATAAGTAGAAATCTTGGACCCTGATAACTCTATAAAAACATCTTATCACTCCTGGACTATCTCTTTACAGAAGATAAAGTCCTAATTTATTTAAGAGACAAATACGTATTACTGTATGTTGCCTCTTCAGGTTTAAATTTTTCATAGGTTACTTGAGAGCAGTTAATACTGATAGGAGAAATGTTATGCTGCAAATTATAAGGTGAAATATGAATATCTGCAATAATTATTCTTACATACATTTGTGAATGTGAGTATACACAAACCTTTAGGGAAGTCCTTTAACATGGAATTGTAAAGTCATAATGTGTACACTTAAAATATCAAGGAATATTGCCAAATTGCATTTAAGCCAACTTACATTCCAACAGTACAGCAGTCCTCATTTCCTCTTCTTTCCCAATAATGGGGAGGGTTTTTTTTTGGGTTTTTTGTTTTTTTGTTTGGTTCCGGGGATCGAACTTGGGTCCTTGCGCTTACGCAGCAGGCGGCGAAACCACTGAGCTAAATCCCCGGCCCTTGTTACTTTTTTTTAGAGGCAGGGTCTTGCTGTGTTGCCCAGGCTAGCCTCAAATACCTGGTCTCAAGCAATCCTCCTGGCTCAGCCTCCCAAGTCATTGGAACTACAGGCACGTAGTCTACTGTGCTCAGCTTGGATTTTTTGTTTTATGTTTTTTGTTTATGATGGTTTTTGTTGTTGTTTTCTAGTACCAGTATTGAACGCAAGTCCTTTCAACTGAGCTACATTCCCAGCCCATATTTTATTTTTGCGACAGATCTTGCTAAATTATTAGGTTGCCTGGGCTGAGCTCAAACTCATGATCCTTCTGCCTCAGCCTCCCAGAGATGAGTTTATTTTTATGTAATAAAAAATACCTGTATTTTTCTTTACGACATCTTGTGGTGTGTGTGTGTGTGTGTGTGTGTGTGTGTGTGTGTGTGTGTGAGA